TCAGGAAGACTAACAAAATTTAACTGTTTTTAATTCGGTTGAAAATTATACGAGAAAAGGGACGTGAAATGTTGATGCTGTGTTTTTTGATAAAACACAGCGTGAACATTGTTCCGTAATTACTTTCAAATTTTAATGGACACGCACTTTCTGACAGAATTGCAAAGTTCCGTATAATTATTTATCTTCACGCAAAAATATATAACACGTTTACAATTCGGTCTTCTTTGAGAAATGTATAAAGTTTTTGTCTAATAGTCGTTTTTGTAAATAACTTTTTGGATAAAGCTTTAAGCTGAAATGAAGAACAGTTACTTTGTAACAAGGACACAAATACAAATGTTCATCGTTGAATGTTATTTGTTAGGTTTTGTATGCTATAAAGGGCGCACCCTTGATGCATCAAGGATTGCTAAAAATACAATAGTACGAAGGTACTCGTAGATAGATGTCAAGATTTTAGCGCCCTGAGGTCATGGACCGCTTAGCTTAGATAAAGCGACTGGGCCCAAAAATAGAAGACGGAGGATCGAATCTCGCAGCGCCAAATATTTTTATTCACTTATCTACAAAAAATTATAATTTATCATATTTTATATAAATTCATCCTGCGTGCAGAGGCTAGCACAAAAAATTAGATTAATCTCAAAAAGTTTTAACAGCAATGACGACATCTCTCGAAAATTAAGTTTTCTCAAAAATTTTAACCTTTTCTTAAAAAACAATAGATAAATATTTATTTAGTTTAAATATAATTTAAACGGTCGTATGACGTTGTTTTTTAAAATTAAATTTCTTGAATCCATAACAGCTTATTCACAGTTAAACTTCATGCTATCAAATTTCAGTTGCTTAAATGACGGACGGTTGCTTTATGGATAATTCTTTATTTCAAAGACACGACAGTGAGGCGATTCATCCGTAGTCAAGTGTGGATCGCTGCTACGGATCCTCGTAACATCGGAGAAGCAGATTCGCTGCAAAGAGGGTGATAATCTGAATAATTCACCCAACGGCTGAAGCGCAAGAGTATGAATATTTGTACTTAATGCGGGTTTTGTGTGAGGCCAGGCCACTTCCCAATTCGAGCAGGCATAATTTAAAATATACTGTTGATTTGCTGAAGTATTGGTACACCAAAATATACTTGATTTGTCTAAACATCTATGCTTCTATCGTACCACAATGTTCAGCAGAAACTGTTATTGTATGGCCATTAGGATGTACAATAAATTACAAAATAGATTAATAATTTAAAATAGTTCAAGCGAAATCTGTTTAACTTTCTGCTAAATAAATGCTACTTTCTGCTAAATAAATACCACAGGGGATTATTTTAATGATAAAAATTTATAAAAACACCTTCCTAAATTATGTTATCTTTTGTTTTGTTTTCTTTGACGGATTTAATGTAAAATGTAACATTTGTACACCAGAAATGGTACAAAATAATAAGGGACGATACAATTTTTACTACCACTAGCTGCTGCCCGCGAATACGTCTGCGTACAATAGTCTGAAGGCGTAACATTCACGCGGAAAGATAGATAGATATACATAAAAATATGTATAAAAATTATAGCCAATGTCTCATTCTGGTGTATAAGCTATATAATTTTAAAGTTTCATTAAAATTCATTCAGAGGTATTTACGTGAAAGAGTAACAAACATCCATACATACAAACTTTTGCCTTTATAATATTAGTAAGCAAGTAAGGATGTTCTAATAAATAAACGAATCTTCCTTTCTTTCTTTCTAAATAATAAAGCTTCTCAACTCACGCCCAATCGGTGTATCAGTGTAGATGGGATAAATCGCGCTCGCATCACGTCTTGCACCGCAATAAATTGTAAAATTAAAAATATGTATCTTTTACTGATTTCACCTGAATACACTAGATTACATTCATCAATAGAGTGTATTCAAGTAAAGTCCCGGTAAACGACTCAGTTTAAAAGCATTACCTACATAAATTATCCATTAATTTTCTAATCCATCCCCAACACTGTGTATGGAACATACTTAACAAAATAATTAGAATTTAAAAACACAACATTTTTAATTCTGATAATATTAAAAAATTAAAACTGTTATTTAAAATATAACTTGTACGAGTAATCGTTTTATCTCTTTTCCCTTGGGATCCCTTAGGATAACTGAAGCAACACCTATCAAAACTTTTATAAGTGTACAGTTTTTTTTAAGTCCATATTGTCATAAACAGCATCGATACCAAAGATTTTTGTGTTAATAAAACACAAATTACACTTTAATTATTTTTGTAACAAATATTGACTTTAAAATATATCTTTGTGATCGTATGAGTTTAATTTCATAATCAATTAATTAATACTATCATCATTGTATTAATTATTAGGCATTATAACTCAATGTCTTTGCTTTTTTATTGAATTAAATTTGCCGTCTATTGTTTTTTACACACCCGGTTGTAGCATTTCTTTGAACTTGTTAATCACTGCTTTGAAACAAACTGCAATATACCACATGACAACGTTATTCATACGAATACATAAAGAAGATTAACATCGACCCTGTCACTTACTAGGGAAATCTAAAGATTTAGTCGTGAACTGGTAAGCCTGTTCACCACTAAATGCGTAAAGAGCATGACTCCGTCTGACACTAATCACAGAGCTACAGTAACAATTTTATATATAAAAAAACATAAAAACTCTAGCGATCAAACATCAAAAAATATTAATATATAACGGGAGCTATTGACAAGCGATGCGAATTGATATACGGAAGCAACATTCTATCCCTAACGTAATAATACCAACATCGAAAATTTTCATGCATTTAAGATTTTCTTTAAGTCACTTTTACAATAATTATTAAGTAACTATTGACGACCCCTTTCTCGATACGGGTAGCTATTATTCTATACGAAATTAGCCCGCAATAAAAATTTCAACCTCTTGAAATCTATTACGTTTTTTTCAGTGAAGTGCATGATGTGATTTATAATAACTAAACCAACTTCTCGTAATTTAAGCAAAAACACGACCTTCCTTCCTAACTAAATCTTTATCGGATGTTGTATTCGCCGTAAGCAGTCGGAAAACTTTAAAAGTCACGGGATGTTAGCGAATTGACACACGTCTGGTTTTAAATAAACTAACGTAATACATAATTTTTAAAAAAGAAAAAAAGCCGTATCAAGATCCGTTACGTAGTTTTAAAGATCTAAACATACATAGGGACAGACAGACAGCGGGACGACTTTGTTTTATCTTTTGTTGTGATATGTAGAAAAATCACTGCACGTTAAATTGTAAATTTATTAAATATCGCAATTTTTTCTATTTGATTTGATCTTGAAATATTTTCTATTTGATTTGACACCGTTCAAAGTAGTAAACGCAGACAAAATGCAAGGCGTGAAGGCGAGACTAATCGATTGAAAATAATAAATATATCCAAAAATATCAAACGCTGCCATTAACTGTATATCAATAAATATCAGGATATATAAAATATTATTTGTTTCGATTATATCGTGGCATATTGTTCACACATACTTTTGGCTGACGGTATGTAATCGTTTACCTGATTTAACTTTACTGTTTGCTGTTTTGTACTGAATAAAATAAAATAAAATAAAATTTGCTCGAACACTCAACTTAAAAGGACTTTGTTTGATAACAAAAGAGTTGGCCTGCGCTGTAATGTAACAAGTACACAAACAACTTTTCAGCTCAAATGGAATCAATTACGCCTAATGATAAAAATCGATACGTGACAAGAATTTTACTTGCCCCTTTTGTGGCGCTTTCCGGATTGGTAGGTACGAAATGTAGCGCGCTAGGTATTGGCTTTGCCAAGATCCCTATTACGAAAAAACACCTTTTTCGTTTAGGCGTAGCCTTAAACGTACTGCTATATTGCGGCGCTATATATGCAGAAAAATATGTAGTAATAATAATATACTTATTATGCAAATTTTAAATAATTTCAAAAATGATGAAGCATCAGCTGAATTTGAGATAAGGCACGAACTTAACGACCGTAAAATTGATACAAAACATAAATTCACACAAAACAGAATTTTTAGTTATTAGTTATGTTCAATGCGATTTAGGTTTTCAGTCCTAGATGTTATAGTTAAAGTTACATGAAATCGATAAAAAAATTTCCAGATAATTATTAATTATTATTTACTTACTATTTACTTTATTAATAATAATTATTATTTACTTAATCTCATTTAAGATTGCATTACGCTGCTGGTTATATTGTATTGATAAAATAAGTATTGTATAAAAAAAAAATATTTCTTCTTTACGGTAGTTAAACCTATTTTTCGTTTCTTCTTCGACCCTTTGACAATGAAGTATTGGACATTACTTTTCTTAAATGTGAACTCCAGTAAAAAAAAACTTTTACAAGACTTTTGAAAATAAATATACATAAATCTTAAAAAAGCTGTAAAATAAGTGATACGTCAGGACATTTTTCTTTTAGAATTTTTAATGAACTCATACTTTTATTTACTCTCACCTCTATTGGTACAATGGCAATGCAAATATAGTTGCAAAAGCATTAACGTTATTATAACGTTCTTGTAATGTTTACAGGATTGTAAATATCTATATTATAATGGTATTAACATTATCACATGTGACCAATAATTCTTCGAAATGTAAACAAGTTGAAGCGTGCGAATATAACTAATTAAAACAAGATTATCCTGCACTATTTTAATAAGTTAACAGTTATTTACATTTTCACCCTAAATAACCCAACAATTGTTTAAGAAAACTACATCACACAAATATGCTTACATAAGAAGATTATGTACGCAGATCTTCATTTCAACTGAAATACCATTTGCATGGAAATATTATCTCTCTAAAATTCTGTAATGTAATATATTTTCTGCAATATCACTTAACAACAACACATCTGAAAACACTTCAAATATATAAGACATAATTTTCCACAGACAATCAGACTCTAACCTTTTCTTCCTTGTCACGATGAATTGGAATAATTTGACCGCTCTTGTGTAACGCCAATAGATGCTTGAGGGATGGTGTCAATTCTAGTCTGATTTTGTGGGAGTGCTCGCCAGGTTCTCAGATCAGTTACAATGAATCTGGGATTGGTTGACGCATGCCCGCTCGTAGTCGTTTCGGAGGGCCAAAACTGTAATAAAAAAAGTGGATAGCACCGGAGATTCTCTCGCCTGTTTCTACTCCGTTAGAGGAACGTCATTACGAAACGGTGGTACGTTTTAAAACAAATGAATAACTGTCAATAGATGAAATGTATGTTGCTAATGTGGAATGAGTAAATGATTTTGATTTTGAATCTTCATTGTCTAATATAGCGCTCATGCGAATCGGTTCGTCACTAGTTAACTATACAATGTTTACCCTGCTTTGTTTAAATGACGTAAATTCAACCAATTCAAATGAGTCAGAAATTAGGGCTAATACCTAACCGCAGCTGCAGTGCTATATTCTGTGTGTGCACAGGGCATATATTGGCAAGCTTGCTTAATTCTACGGACTGAAAGTTCTAACATCTAACACTAAGAAAAACTTACTATGCTCCTTTTCCTTGTGCTTTTGTGCAAGTGCTGTTTTGATTTTTTCAAGTATATGTGGTTCAGTATTGCCTTCATTTGATCGACTGAACCACTAGGATATTTATTAATTATCTGAAATTGTGTAAAACACTTTTGAAATATTTCTTGCTAATAGTACACCAGCCATTAATATCTATTTTCCTATTTCCACATAAACAACGTATAAAGCATAAAAATCCAAAGTTTTTATTTAACAACATATAAAAATAACTCAGTTATTTAATCACGCTACGTTTTAAAATATTCAATTTCCATTTGCCTAGAAAATATTATTCAATTTTCACTTGCCTCGTCCAATTCCAACTCCCGGCGAGAAAGCGAGCTTTCATATTTAATTCGGTCCTCAGATTCGAATGCATAGCTGTCTGTTACTTCATTTGTAGTAAATCTGTTAAAGTTACTATCATCGGACGGCTGTATATTATCTGAAATACACGTCGGTATAAATTATTGGTTCTTGTCTGTATACGAGTATGTATGTAAAAGGGTTCTATTATGGTGTGTATTATTGATATATGTTATTTATTTATCTATACTCCTGACACGTAAAATTCCTTTGTTGGCACTTAATCCGAAGTAATATATAGTACACGAAGATTTTAGAAAAGAGATGTTTCAGATTTTTTCGTCAAAAGAAATCTTGTACTGGTAATCGTTTATATCTGATATATACGTAAATATAAGTAGACTTTTTTGTTTATAGTGAAAAAGTAGCAAACGACCGGCGGTTCACCTGATGTTAACAAATAACCCCGCCCATGGACATTTGCAACACCCGTAGGGTTCCAAATGCGTTGCCACCTTTAAATAAAGTCCCGACTATCTCACTCACCAGACGAAACGCAGAAGTGTAACACTTCTACTTTACGCCGGTCTTCTGTGAGGTCGTGGTACTTACCCGGACGGACCTGCCCATTCGTGAAACAGTGAAAACTGTTCATAAAAGGCGAGTGTCAATCAAAATGTTATGACGTTGTTGATAATATCTTACGAATGCTTTCGTCTTCATTTGTAGAACCATTTTGCCAATTTTTCATATCAACCGGATCGTCGTTAACCACGCCGCGTTTAAACACAACAGACACTTGAGAATCTACGAACAAGAAAATAGCAAATTATAGTTATTTTTAAGTGAAAACGGCAAGCAACAAAGGTAAAAGCAAAATCAAAGGCTTAAACCAAGTGTTCATAATGGTAAATAATCTCTGGCGGTCATAGATAAGTTTTTAATTTATATTTTAGGACACATTTTCACACTAATTCTCTAGTATCAACACACTAAGCAACGCTTATACTATGGGTACAAGATAACTGATAAACCTACTTAAACTTTCCGATACTGCTTTCGTATCACCGTTGGACTATGTTTTATAATTATGTTTTACAGTTTAAGAAATAGGTTGTCCTATTTGCCTACCACTTGTTTACTGGCGTTGTAAAACAGCAACACGATAAAACTCGTGTGTTTCCGAACAATTAATTCAAACTCGATTACCTGTGACGACTGTGCGTACAATTAATTTACCCTTATCGTTACTTTGATGCGGTCATCGGGTGTCGTGGGCAAATCACCTGGCGAGACACCTCATTACCATGGGTTTGGCAACACGCCATTTGAGTGGTCTGGTTAACGATGTACACCGGACATAAGGTACGATACAACGAAAAATTGTTAGCAGTTGTTAAATTTCCCTCACGGATAAAATCTTTGAATAAAGTGAGTGTTTTTAAATGTATACTTAAATAATAGCGTCGTAGTCAGGAGAACGAAGATCACAAAAGATCTTGTCGGCGCAATTTTTTTTTAAATGTGATCACTAAAGTAATTGACTTGCACCTAAATTTGTGCGTTTAATTCAAAGTATTTCAAAGTAAAGTTAATGAAATATCAGTCTTCGGATTACTGCTCGTAAAGGTATTAGTTTCACGTTAGAGACTAACGCGACTTGAAAATGTTATAGCTCTAGTTTTATCCGTCCACTGTGTTTGAGGTAACGCTCAGATGGAAAACGATATATATATATATATATTTACATACCTTTCATAGTGATGAACTCGGATACGGAGTAGTTGTAACCAAAGGCAATGCCCGCCAGTATTGCTACAGTAAGTAAAGAAAAAATTGCTCCAAATATGCAACAAGACATGAGGAATGTCCATATCCTGAAATTATTGCAAAATAAATAAACCTGCTTTACCCACAGAAAGTTTTTATCCAAAATTCATCACACACCATAAATATGAAAATACAATATATCGATGTAATTATTATTAAGGAGGATAGTGATAAGGTATAATGGCAGTTGCATGACAAGATCAAAAATTATGTTTAAAAGTTTGATTTTATTAATATTGAAAAAAATGCACAGTGAATAACGTCTTTTCTTTCTTTTCTTATTATAGTATAGTTCTCAGTATAGTTACGGCAGAGCTTTCTTTTGGTAAAAAGTCTGTGTGCGTCAGGCAGTTTCGTGTATAATTGCATAGTCCATAAGATTGGATAGGGAGAGAAGAGACCTTTCTTGGTTGAGCAGAAAATCACCGTACAATGGTGATGCTGTTGATGATACGAAAAAGGCAATAAATGTAAACTAAGCAGATGAGATCGATCACCTTTGAATAAAATCTATAGTCCAAGAAATGTATGTAAATATAACACACATTATCCTTATTGTTATTATTAACAACAAAGCAAATAATTGTACAAATCCGTTAAACACCAAAATATATAAAATCAGTCAAACAAACATTTCGTCTGTTTTCGTACATAAGAAGGTGTGAAGGACAATTTACAAACATTACAATTTACATTGAAGTAATTAGTTTCACGGGTAATTTAGTCGAAAAATTAATAATACAAGTAAATTTCGACAGCAATCTATTCAGATCACATGTTGCGTCTAAACGTTTGTCAAAAATAGTTAATGTCAGTTTTGTCATCTTGATAACGCCCGTAGAGTAATTTGATAATTTTTAATAAAATATAAATAAAAATAATTTACTACGACTATTACAACAAAATACTTGAACAATAGGCTCACCTTTTAATCTAATCAACTATATAAATAATCGTCTATACAAAATTAAACAAAAAAGCATATGCAAATTTTATATTTATCACTAACATAATAAATCTAATTTAAAAAATTTGTTTATTTTTTAGTATGTATGCCTGATTAAATTAAGTCAGAAGAAAACTTGTTCAACGGTTTACATACATACATATGACCAACAACTGTCTGTCATTATATAAAATTTCTTAAGTGATAATTTATTTAGTTAAGTAAAATTTATGCCCTAAATTCTTAAATTCTGATATGACAAGATGTCTGAAAAATGTTCCGTGACGTAATTAATTAACTTCAAAAATTCAATGTTGTATAGTAATCAATTACGATTTTTTTGTCTAGTACCATTTTTAGAGAATTTAAAGAACAACTTAACATTTGCGGAATTGTGATAACGCACAAAGCAAGTCTTTAAAAAAAAAGAAAAATAAGATTACATTTCGGGTAGGCGATGGTACAGTCTGCTAGTAAAGTAAAAAAAAAACTGTGAGCTAGAAGGGACAGAATATTAAAACCAAACGACGGGTCTGGACGAAAAAATTCAAATAAGTGTGTGCGTCCTAAAAACATAATATTAGAGATGTTTCAGTAAAAATACAGTTTTTATAATAAAGTGATGAGCCGTGCCGCAGTCGCTTGTTATTGGCTTCAAAGCTGGAGATCATGCGTTCGATTCCGACACGGAACAACTATTTGTGTGACCCACATATAATTGTTTCAGATCTGGGTGAACTGAATCTGGCGCACGTGAAGTTTATGTGTGTAAAACGTCACGTCGAAATAAAAAAAACCGGCCAAGTGCGAGTCGAACCCGCGCAAGAAGGGTTCAATATCTACTATTATCTGTAAAAACGGCAAAAAAATCAAGTCTGTTGTATGGGAGCTCCAGTTAAGTGTTTTTTATTGTTTTTTAATATTTGCGGCGCCCGAAAAACATTATTTGTGAAAATGTCAACTGTCTAACCAGTAATAGGGTCCCGTTTTATCCTTTCGGTAGGGAACCCTAAAAAAGTAACCTTAACAATGGACAGAACTCCCTGTGCATATTGTGAGCAACTCTTCACGTAGAAGGTTGCCTAGACGTATAATGTAATGAAATGTTTCTTGTCTAATAGCTGCCACCACAGTGTATTAAACTTCAGCTAAACAAATTAGTTGCAGAACTCGGTCGTTCCTTTAATAGCGTTACCGCTAAGTTTGATGGCCTCTTGGCACTATCCATTAGTGCCAGCATCGAAATTACATCAACACTGTACATTCTAAACTCAGAATGGGTAATATATTCATGGGACAATAAATAAATTATTGAATGAGCGAATGTTTTAAAAGAACAAACGATTGCTTAATTCGTTTGTATTTTAAATAATTTAATATTTTGTAGAACTTCAGTGATAAAAACCCTGAATATGCGATAACCAATTAAGATGAGCTATTCAAAATTGTCTTACAAATATTCTCCATCTTTTGTATGTTTTACTAAGTTATGTTTTAGTAAGTTCGATTAGTAATAATTTATTAAAAAAGAAATAAAAAAATATTACTGAGACCGAACAGTAACAATAAATTACAAATTATGCTTTTTTATATTATTAATGTAGTCTATGAGGCTAGCGTCAACTATTAAAAAGTTCGACTATTTAACGAAAAGTAATGAATCTATGACATGATGAATTCGCATACTGTGATGCTCGTTTTAATTGGAGAGACATTGTCAGCATAATTTAATTTCATGTTTCTTGAGTTCCGTAAGTTAACTCGTTAGTAACGGATTAGCAAAGTTAAAACTTTTGGGGTCAACCCAAGCTTTATAAATGATAAAGAGTTTCGGCCGTATAATACTTATATTTTCGTGTAACATTTTAAGCTACTATATTTAGACATAGACATAGACATAGACATAGACATAAACTTTATTTTGACAACCAACAAACAGCACAAAAGATTCAAAAAAAAAAAATAAATAAATGACATGAACATAACATATTGATAAATAAAAAAATAACATCGTTTCAACAAAAAAAGCAAGTTAAAAAAAAAGGAAAACAAAATAAGTACACAAAGTTACAAATATAAACAATTATTAATAAAGAAACAAAAAGACATATAGAAACCTTTGAAGGAAAAAAAAAAAAATGCATAGTGTATATGTAATAAGGAATGAATTGTGCTGTGAGTTTATGTCAAAAATGGTCTCCACTCAGCAAAAAAATACGGAGAGTTCCGCAATGCTGGTATTCTGTGGAGCCATTTCGATGCTAGGAATGTGAGGAAGGTGCGGGTAGATGCGCAAACTTGTGAAAATATTACCAGAATAAAATAAACTAAAATTAAATAATAAAAATTAAATTATAATTAAAAAAAAAAAAAAAAAATTGTGCAACACTGTTAGAATTTCTGGCAAATATTGACCAACAGAAAGAAAGAAATGCAAGTAAAAATTATTAAATAATCAATAATATTGATTAAAAAAGAAAAAAAAAGAAAAAGACAAACAAACAAAAGGACTTTATATACACATAAATACATTATATTAGTGCCACGGGGGCTATTAGGGACGCATTAGACATTTTGCGTTAAGTATGTGGGTAATACTCGTCTAGAAGCTGGTAAGCATTGTTGGAAAGACAAAAGATGTTGTTTCAATTTGAATTTAAAATAACTTAAACTTTTTATAACCCTTATAGGCGGTGGTATATTGTTCCAGCATTTAGACGCGGCGTACTTAAAACTTCCTCTGAAAGAAGCTGAGCGATGTTTTGGGATCCTAAGTATCATCTTTTTAGTTGCCCTAAGTCGATCAGTTGACAACCAATCAAGTTTTTGAAAAAGATACTTAGGTCGGCCAGTTTTGATAATCCCAAATAATAGGGTTGCCAAATGAAGTTCCCTACGCAAAGTCATTTTAAGTACATTAAAATTATTTATGTAAGGAGTGACGTGTGTACGTGGTGGAATTTTAAAGCAAAAGCGCGCACATGCATTCTGAACTCGCTGAATAAGTCGTTCTGTACCCGCTAATATTCGAGGGCCGTATACAGTATCAGCATAGTTTAGTCTTGACAATATGAGGGAATCGCACAGCTTAACACGTAGGCTGACACTAAGGTAATCACGTATGCGATAAATAACTTTTAATCTATAAAAACAGTTACGTACAAAATCAAGTACGTGACCCTCGAAGCGCAGATCAGTATCCATCTTGACCCCAAATTACGCGCTTCAGTAACCCTTTCAATTAAATTTCCATCAATTTTTACTTGGGGATCATGTGTTAAGATGTTGGTTATTTGCATTTTACTACCAAGTACCATCCATTTGCATTTTACAGGGTTTAAGACTAACGCATTTTTAACAGACCATTCGCTTATTCGGCTGAGATCTTCATTCAGTTTACGTGTAGACAGGTTAGTATGTTCCGCTTTTGTGCTAATGTATAATTGTAGGTCATCAGCGTATATTTGCAACTTACAATGTTCTACTGTATTAATTACATCAGAGGTATATAAAATAAATAAAATAGGACCTAGAATTGATCCCTGCGGAACA